ATAAAGAAAAAAATAATTTTGTATAATAAAATTTTGTCCCAAAATAAAATGACTGGTTATGTTAAAAAAAAAAAAAATGCAGGGCAAAACAGAGATTCCAAGCATGTCGTCAATGGAATATGAAAGTCAGGATAAGGTTCGTGAAAAGGAATTTATAAAAGAAATCTTGGTATATAATTATGTTGATTATAACTTTTTTCTCCAGCTCTAACTGCTGTTATGGCTTGAAAGATTTTTAATTACTTAGGAAACTGAGCTTCCAAAAAAAATTAAAGTTTTTTTTTTATAATTAAAAAAAAAAACTCATATAATAAATTTTTGTCCTGTAATAAAATGGCTGGTTATTTAAAAAGAAAAAAGTACAGGACAAAAATAAAAGGTTCAAGCATGTTTAAAAATGGTATACTAAAGGTTTATGGGGAGGAAAAAAAAGTAACTTTCAATGAACTATAATCCTGTGTTGTAACATTATGCTTTTAAAAATTGTAATACATAAACTCTTCAGTTCTCAATTTAGTCTCTCTAGGGTGGGGTAAAAAACAAAAACAAGCCCTAGAAACCACATCTGCCCCACACCCTCCTCTTAAACTGTCTGTAGACCAGACACAAGGATTATTATTAATCCAACATAGGATAAATAACAAAATAAGCTGGGCTTCACGCTCTAGCATATCAATCGTTGTGAAAGTATATCAGACCTATTATAAAAACAAAGCGGACAGTTTTCTCTTGCCAATGTTTACCTGTTTTAAATTATCATGTTCATTATTATTTCCTGCAATTTAAGCTACAACCTAACCACATGTCTCTAATGTTTTCAATTTTTCTTCAGACTTTGTCAGAGTGGCTATATTTACTTGCTAAAGTACAAGTAAAGGTAATTTACAAGGGAATATTTCAACTTACATTAATAAATTAAAGGCCTTAGCTAATCATACATATAACGTATGGGACTACTTTCACTCTTCCAGCATTGTTTCTAAAGCAATAACTTTTTTCATCATTGTTTGCTTAATAATGTTTGCCTATGCTCTTGCTCAGTGTTTTATTAAATTCAAATAGTATTCAGTTAAGGTGCCACCTCAGCAGGAAGCAGTTACAGAAAATTGATCTTTGCCCCATTTCTCAGAATCATAAGAATATTTCCAAGAGCAGGAGTGGGGAATAAAAGGACAGAACAAGAGTGGGAAGCTATTTTTTAATCTTGTTCCTAAACCCTAACACAATGATGAAAAAGTTGAGGCTATGTCCAGGAAAAATACATGCTCTAGGTAAAAATTAACTTTGCCAACTTTGTCTTTTCAGAAAAACAGACTCCTTAAGCACAACAAGTACTGGCCTATTATAATTAGTCTTTTTTAGAAATCCAGACTTCTCAAACATGACCAGTATTGACCCATTGTGTCCTCAGTGCATGGTGACCAGCACCACCCTCAAGGTCTCCAAGACATCCACAAGTGGTCAACAAGAAAGTCACGGCTGTCACATCTACCAGATTGCAACATCTCCAGGGCTTCGGGGGGGCTACGGAGCCACACTCTAATCTAGAGTGTAGGCCCACTTCCTGTCTGTGGGAAGTAAACTTTTCTCTTCTCTTTTACCTTCAAAGAAGGGGCTGGCACCAAAGGAGGGCTCTGTGTAACATTAGAAAAATCATGCTGTTTCTATGCCAATAATCAGGAGTCATTAGATACACCCTCCAAGAGGTTCGAGAAAATTTAAACAGAAGACCAAAAAAAAAAAGAAAAGAAAAGAAAAGAAACCCTGGTTTCAAACCTTGTTTAATTAAAACCCATGGCTAACTACCTTAATTACAGGTCTGGATGGCCCTCTACTTCTCCTCCTTCTCGGTCTACTCATCGGGCCCTGTATATTAAATTAAACAGTTCGGTTTGTAAAACAACGAATCACTTCTATAAAACACATATATATGCGGGCCCATTATAACCCCTTACCCATAATAAATTAGTCAATGCTTTGACTCATGAACAACTAAAAGGAGGGAATGAAATGACTGTTAGCATGTTAGTCTCTCAGTTCCTCCTCTCATCCCTCCTCCATATGACTGCCCCAACCTTCCAGTAAACAATAAATCACATCCTGCTTGGTGGGAAACCCAGATAAGCCATTCTGTAACTGTTCTGTAACCATTAACAGATAAACTGCTCTGTAACTGAAAATATCCTGCTTGCACTCCCCCCCAACTGTGATAAAACTGTGGTTTTTTGCCATTATAAACCCCCTACCTACTCTGTTCAGGGGTCAAGAGTTCTTTGGACATAAGTCCGCTCTCGACCACCAGCTAGCAAAGGACTCATAATTAGATTCTCAGTGTGTGGCAATTCCTTTCTCACACTTCGGCTATAACAGTGGCACACGCCTGGCATCCCAACTACTTGGGAGGTTGAGGAGGGAAGATCTGTTGAACTCATGAACTTGAAGCTGCAGTAAGCTGTGCCATGGCTCTCCATTCTAGGCAACAAAGTAAGACCTCAACTCCAAAATAAATGGGAGGGAGAAAGTACAACTGCCCCTCAGTATCCACAGGGAATTGGGAATTGGTTCCAGGATCCAAGAAGATACCAAAATCCATGGATGTGCAAGTTCTTATATAAAATGGCATACTATTTACATATAACCTACACCCATCCTCCCATATGCTTTAAATCATCTCTAGATTATTTGTAATACCTGATACAATGTAAATGCTATGTAAATAGCTATTATACTGTATTTTTTAATTTGTGATTCTTATTGTATGTTTTTTATATTTTCTATCCACAGTTGGTTGACTCCCTGGATACAAAACCCATAGATACACAGTCAATTGTATATGCAAATTACATATAGATAATGAACTTGTACAGTATCTAGAATATATGAAGAACACATAAAACTCAATAATAAAGAGACAACACCATTTAAAAACTGGCAAAAGATCTGAAGAAGATACGCAATGACCAATAAGCATATGACAAGATGCTCAGCATCATTAGCCAAAAGGGCAATGCAAATCAAACCACAATGAGACAGCACTTCACAGCCACTAGAATGGCTAGCATCAAAAGGACAAACAATAACAAGTTTTGTCAAGAACATGGAGAAACAGAAACTCTCATACATCAGTGGTGAAATTGTAAAATAGTGCCATCATTTTGGAAAGCATTCAGAAAAAAATATTATTTTGGAAAATAGTCTCCTGTTCATCAAAAGGTTCAACACAAAGTTAGCATATGACTCATCAATTCCACTCCAAGGCATCTACCCAAGAAATAAACACATGTCCACACACAAACTTCCACACAAATGTTCATAGCAGCATTTTTATGTTTTGTAGTATGTCAGCTTGAAGATAGTTTCCAACACTTTTAGGTAACTTAAAACCTTGGACTGATGCTAAAATGATGTAATTAATAGATACTCATTAGAAACCTATATCAGGCTGGGCACGGAGGCTTACGCCTATAATCCCAGCACTTTGGGCGGCAGAGGCAAGAGAAAAAAGTGGAAATAAACCAAATTTGCATCAATTAATGGATAAATAAAATGTGGCATCTAGCCATATAATAAAGTATTAATTGGCAATAAAAGGGAATGAAGCATTGATACATACTACAACATGGATAAACTTCAAAAACATTATGCTAAGTAAAATACAAGTAGTCACAAAAAGCCCTGTAATGTACGATTCCACATATACAAAATCTATGGTACAGGCAAATCTATAGAGACAGAAAGGCAATTAGTGGCTGCCAAGGGATGAGGGCTTGGGGATAACAGTGACTGCTAAGAGTACAGGGTCTCTTTCTGGGGTGATAACAGTGTTGTAAAATTGACTGTGGTGATAGTTGTACACTTTGGTGAATATATTACAAGTCACTTAATTGTACACATTAAATGGGTGAGTTGTATATCTTGTTAATTATATCTCAATAAAGCTGCTAAAATGTATACATAAATATCAAAGTATATTAACCTCAAATTTTGCTTAATGTTTCATAATGTCACCTTATTTAGAAATGATATAGGTTTCTTTTTTTTTTTTTTGAGTCAGAGTCTTACTCTGTCACCCAGGCTGAAATGATGTGGCACGCTGCTCACAGCCACCACAGCCTCAACCTGGTGGGTTCAGGTGATCCATCCACCTCAGCCTTCCAAGTAACTGGAACTACAAGCGTGCACCACCACACCCAGCTAATTTTTTGATTTATTGTAGAGACGAGATCTCATCATATTGCCCAGGCTAGTCTTGAACCCCGCGGGCTCAGGCAGTCCTCTCGCCCCCACCTCCCAAAATGCTAGATTACTGGTGTGATCCACCACGCCCAGTCTGATAAAGGTTTCTAATGAATATCCATTAATTACTTCAATTTAGCATCAGTTCAAGGTTTTAAGTTACCTAAAAGTGCTGGAAACTATCTTCAAGCTGACATACTACAAAACATAATTACTGTTAAAATAAAAAACCAAAGTAATGATTTCATTTGGTTAAAATGCTAATTTACATATTTCTTACTCTTATATAACATATCCACATAGAATAAAAATGCATGCTTATACTTAACAACTCAAAAGACACAGTTGTTTTTATTAAACCAACAATATTAAACTAGTCTTGGACCAAAACAAAAAAGGGCATAGAATATAAGTACCACCAACTACCAGTATACTACACACTGTACAACGTTCCAAAAGGTCTTTTGGTCCATTCACTGTAGGCTGTTGTGGCCAGGAAAGTGAGAAGGGCCTTGAACAGCTGAGATAAACAGAGAAAGAGTCAACCAGAAAGCAACGGCTGCAGAGAACATCAGTTTGGTGAGACTGGATGATGTGTGTCCTGCACATCAGGGGACTTTTTAATATATTCTTCCATCTACTAATGGCAGAAAGGGTTTCTGAGCAGGAAATGATGTATCCTAAGCTTTACAATACACAGGTTAAATGGATGTTAAGTACTCTTTCCATTTCAGTTTTCAGAAACAGTTTAACAGAACACTCACCTGAAATAGCAGCTTCAGAGAGCACTTTAAGTACCTCATTTTCCATTTCACAACTGTTACACAGCTCCTCCCAAGTCCCTTTAAGTCCTTTCTTTCGAGCTAGTTCTGTAAGTTCCTTTTGATTTGGCACAACAAATCCAATGACATAAGAATGATAACTGAAATATACAAAGAATAACTTAAATAAGGAACAAAAGGGTATACTGTGTTAAATGCCGTCACTGATTACACTGACAGTAATTAACTCTTTACTATATTAAAAAACTGCACGTGCCATATCTGGTATTGGCATATTTATTTCAAGCAAATGCCAGTTTTATTCTATTATGAACAGTGTCATGCACATTTTTTAGAAGGAAATTACCAGTATTAGAAAATTCATCTTAAATCAGTAGTTCTTGGCAGCAGATTTTTTAATACTAAAACTGAATATAAATTAAAAACTGTCTCTAAAGAAATTTGGCAAATCAAAATAATGTGACTATATTTATTTTTTCTGCTGTTATCTTGAGAATTTGTGTTAACAGAGGGACTCTGAATATGCCCAATGAAGGTAAGTACTCTTTGAAAACCACTAAACAGGAACTTGAAAAAATGACCATGCCATCAGGAAGAGGATAGTTCTGGCTACTATCATGTAAGTAAAATCCAGAACTGCAGCATCATTAAAACATAAAAATCCTAGATGGCTAAAGGAGAGAATCATTTACAAACCAATGCAGTTCATCTTTAACTTGGGCTGTACCCCCAAAATCTCTCTAAATTGGTTTTTCCGATACCAGATTTTGTTTTCACATAAGAATCATGACAATTGCTGTAGACAGGGTCCCTGCTGGCTCTCTGTCACCATGAGCTAGCAATCATATGCATTAAGCCCTAGTTGAGCAGAACTTATGAGGGGCCCCCAGCCCTGCCAAGAGTCACAAGCAGGCTCCAGTTGAAAGCAAGGAGTAAGTACTTAACAGTGTACTGCTCGCTGACCCTTCTTTACTCCCCTTTCCTCTGAGTTGGTTCAGTGAAGTCTCCCACGTGGGAAGACAGGGAACGAGAAGTACCAAGGAATCAGGAAGGAAGATTTTGTTTTCTTCACCTCCCTAACACACAGGACACTGCAGTGAGATGTCAAGCATAAAACAGAGACACTAAGAAAGATGTTGAGGGGAATATCAGTCAATGGCTGTGATGAGAAGGAGGCCACTTCCCGAGGTAACAGATAAGAAGAAAGAGCCTTTCAGATAACTTTACAAAGAAGGCCCACACAGGCAGAAAACGCTTACAACACCACCAAACGCTCTAAGTTAGCGTAAATTCCACTTTCTTACCTGTTTGCATATGCACAAATATTATCTATCAGTGGAAGATTCTTCAGAGCTGCCTCCACTTTCCCAAGAGAAACATATTCTCCTGCCTGCAATTTTACAAGGTCCTTTTTACGATCTGCAAAACGAAGAAAAGTGGGGAGGGGAAAACATTGAAAAGAATAATATTAATAACAATATATACAAATACTGGCTATACCCTTAGTAATTTGCTATCAAATCATTTAAAACTTTGCTAAATTAAGCATTAATAGTTATGCTAAACTTAACAGAATATACTAAAATTAGGCTCTAATTTTTTTATATTGTTAACACATTATTTTAAAAGAAAAACATTTAACTTCTATTTAAGGGACCCCATGGTCAGGGCTTCAGGTATGTTCTGCTGAACAGGTATGTTCTTGGTATTCATGAATACCAGGCAGGTGAAGAAGATACTGAATGACACTGGCAAGTTCATGTTCTACCTGGAGAGATGATCCATAATGCAAAAAAGGGTTACTTCGATTTAATATGAACTCTTCAACCTGTAGACTCAGAAAGAAATTCCTGCAAAGGAGGCCTAGCTGAGTCATAAGAGTGAGAGGTAGCCACGTGAAGCAGCACTGGGGAAGGGCAGAAGTATGCCAGGTCGAATTTCAGCAGCAAAAGAGAGAAGGGAGGTGGAGAGGTGGGGGGGCGGGGGGCATCCCGAACTGAGCTTCTAGGAGTCATTAAAGGGCTGCAACAAGAGTAAGCACATAGCAGCGGCGAGGGGGTTGTGTTTAAGGAGGACAAGCAAGGCTACAGAAAGGAATTTCCTGTGGTCGGGTGGCAGAAGGTTCAAACCTGACCTACAGTCGTGGCAAGAGGGACAAAGAAAAAGAGAATATTACTTCGAGACATATCTCATAAGATAAATTAGTGGGATTGAGATCGGTATGGGAAACTGACTGAAGTGTCTCTCATCTCCTTCCAGGTTTCTTGTTAGCATGATCAGAACAGAAATACCATGAACTGAAAACAAAGGAACCTAAGAGGAGAAGCAGGGAAAAGTATTTTTTGCCCCGTGTAAGTCCTAGTACTTCAGCTGGCGGGCTTTCTTTTGTTCTCTCGGGCAAGGCCAGGGCACAGTTCAGACAGGAGAGCTCTATCTAACCTCCAGATGGCAAAGAATTCACAAAAATGAGTATTCTCTACAGAAGCAAGAAAGAATGACTAAGAGTTATCTAACAATAATTAAAAATGACACTGCTGTTGAACCACTTGAGAACTCATAACATGTCAGGCCTTAAAAATTCCACAGTCCACATTAAAAATGTGTGTATTCCAAGAATGATGCCACAGTCTATTCCAACATTACATATACAGTACCTCTTGAGTAAAACTATTTCAGAAATATTCAATTTCAAAAAAATATTAGATGGCTCACCAATAATCTTTAAACAACCATCAGGGTCAAACTCTCCGATATCTCCAGTACAGAGCCACCTCTGTCCACTTTCATCTTCAAAGAAATCAGTTTTTGTTTTTGCTTCATTTTTGTAGTATCCCATTGTCACATTTAGGCCACCAATAAGAATTTCACCCCTGGGGTGTGGTTTATCAGTATTAAAGTATCCACCTAATAAACAGAATAATTTTGAGTTAATTCTATACTTTTATCCCTATACGTAACACATAAAAATTTAAAACTATTAGCTTCTAAATAGGAATATCTTAATCTAGTTAGCACCTTCCCAAAGAAAACAAGGCAGATACTATAAATGAACAAAGTTTACCAGTTTAAAACTAGATGCAAAATTTCAGTTGCTAACAATAAACATTTATGCTTTTAAGCTACTATGCCAACAAAAAAATGACACTCTAAAATCCGACATCCTCTACTTTATAAAATTGCAAACACAACAGAGTTAAATTGTTTGAAAGAATCTATAGGATATTAAATATGATGCTAACAAATTGATCAAAGTACTAAGCCATGTTTGATAACAAACCTCTGCATAAAATCAAATTACTCTACATTTAGAAGATTATTCTTACAGATAATTTAAAAATGACTCCTAGCTTAAATTTATTGAACATTTTCACTAATTCTGCCAAAGAGAGCTGGAAAATGACGTCTAAGCCTTAGAATCTTTACTCTGTGTAAAAAGAAATGTGCATCTCAATAAATCATAATTTGTATATTTGAATAGGATCAAATAAGTTTTAAAAAAGTAATTATTATTATTTTTTTTTTTTTTTGAGTTAAAGTCTCACTCCATCACCCAGGTTGGAGTGCAGTGGCACGCTCAAGGCCACCCCAGCTTCAACCTGCTGGGCTCAGGTGATCCTTCTGCCTCAGCCTTCCAAGTAGCCAGAACTACAGGTGCACACTACCATGCCCGGCTAATTTTTTTTTTTTTTAATTGCAGAGATGAGGTCTTGCCAAGTTGCCCAGGCTGTCCTCGAACCTGCAGGCTCAGGCAATCCCCTCACCTCAGCCTCCCAAAGTGCTGGGATTACAGGCATGAGCCATTGCACCAGGCCAAAAAGTGATTAGTATTTTAAATGGCATAAACAACAGACTTTTATGGAATGATAGTGAAAATTTCCTTCTCATAATACAAGGTTGAAGCCCCAAGGAGAAGAAAAAAGAAAAAACATGTAAAAGTCCTCAATTTCATAGAATATATTTTATGATTTTGCTTCTAAAAAATAAAGTTTTGATCGCTCTTAATTTATTCACATTATTCACTTAGTACATTTCTCATGTTTTTGCCATAATTCTTAATTGAAATAAAATAATAAGCAAAATAAGTACAATTATAATTATTCAGAACCATCTTTGAAACAAGCAAAATAAAGGAATTAATATAGCTCTAGATAAAATATAACATTATAAAAGACAAAAATGAGCACTTGTGGATGTTTATATTCTAAAGTAAGATAAAAAAGGAAATGAAGAACAATTCTAATTTTAAAGTTTAGTATTATAAAAATTGACACTCGGTGGTTAAAAGAGTTTATTACCTTCCTCCCAGTTCTTTAATTTGATTTCACAGCAAACTAATGGTGCTCCCACTCTGCCAGTATTGTAGTCCCACACTAAGGGGAAATGAGGAGAAAAAAGAATTTGAAAACAGTTGTTAATAAATTGCTTTGTTTTTCTAAATTATCAAAAAGGATGATTTATCCCAAAGCTTAAATATCCCCAGAGAATCCTTAAAAGCAGAAATCACAAACTAGTGAACCACAGGCTGTAAGATCTGCACAGTCGTCCTGCTTGTTTCACAATGAGGTTCTTTTCTTCAAATCTAAATTAATTATTGCCATTTTTAAAAATCAGAAAACCATACATACAGCAACAATGAGCCAACATTTCAGGCACAGCAACAGCTGATAGCCCCTGCTAGACAGGCCCTCCCTACTCCAGGTACCCCAGAATCAATCCTTGCCCATCATATTTTCTTTGTAAAGAATACTACATTTTATTTATTAAGCATTCAACAACCAATAACAGTATTTAGTCCATAATGTTCCATTCATATCTTTACTATATGCTTTTGTCCTAATGGATTTTCTTGATTCTACTAACATTTTAGAATACCTGGTCCCAGAGCAATTCACAGAAAATTCAAAGTGAAATTCAGTTATTACTTAGTTTCTTGTAATTGGGTGACAAGCTTAAATTTTAGCAACCTTAAATTAATATTATACAATTTCAATTTCTGAAAATTAGAATTGGGTCTGGTCTCACTGTCAAATGTACATTTCAATGCCATTGTTTTTCTCTATGTTTTCTGTCCTAAAACATCTTATAAATCTATAATTATTTTTGTCACTTTGTAGTTAGTTATAAACTACTAATCCCTAGGCCAAAAGTCTTCAACTGGGGCATTTTTGTTTCCCAGGTGGCAATGTCTGCAGGCGGTTTTAGTTGTCATGACTGGTGGGGAAGTGTTATTAGCATCTAGTGAGTGGAGGTCTGGAATGTTGGTAAACATCCTACAATGCAAAGGATAGCCCCTTACAAATAAGAAATCATCCAACCTAAATATCAATAGTGTAGAGCTTGAGAAATAATGACTAGGTGGAGGCAAAGAACATTTACTTTATCGCCTCTGTCATTCTTCCCTTCACAAAGTTTCTAATTCAGGGAGTCATGATTGACAAACATACATAACATCATTTGTGAAATGGCACACAGCATGTAGGTCTTACCCAACACCTTTCCTTACATCAGGGCCCACATTTCACTCATTTAAGAAGTTAGCTGCCCAGTTCAGGAGTCTGTCGACTCTAAGGATGGTGGAGCACAATAGTTTACACTTGTTTCACTTTCTTATCAGGCTTCATAGCTTTGCAATACAAAAACACCTCTTCAATCTCCCCTCATGGCTCATGCCTGTGAGGCTGTGACTTTCGGAGGCTGAGACAGAAGGGTTGCTTGAGCCCACAAGTTCAAAACCAGCCTAAGCAACATAGCAAGACCCCCCCACCATCTCTACAAAATAAATGCAAAAATTAGCTGGGCATGGTGGTCACTGAGCCAAGGAATTCGAGACTGCAGTGAGCCATGACAGCACCACTGCACTATATAGCCTAGGCATCAAAGAGAGATCCCTGTCTCTAAAACAATTTTAAATTTTTTTTAAAAAAATGCTTTCAAAGCCGGACTTGGTGGCTCAGCCTGTAATCCCGCACCTTCAGGAGGCTGAGGTGAGTGGATCGCCTGAGCCCCCGGGTTCGAGACCCGCCTGGGCAGCAAGACCTCATCTCTACAATAAATCAAAAATCAGCCAGGCATGGTAGTGCACACCTGTAATTCCGGCTACTCGGAAGGCTAAGGTGGAAAGATCGCCAGAGCCCAGTGGGTCGAGGCTGCAGTGGCCGGAAGTGGCCACTGCACTCCAGTCTGGGTGATGGAGTGAAACTCCAACTCAAAAAAAAAAATTTTTTTTAAATGCTTCCAAAAATATAAAAAATATATAGAACTTAAAGAACTAATGCAACATAAACCTTGCACAGAAGTACTCAAAGTAAACAGGGAAAAATGATCAGTTAATAAGTTGAGTATCTATCAGTATCTAGAAAATACAAGTAGGAGAAGCATAGCTTTATCTAACAGTAGAGGGCAAAATAACTTTCTTCTAAAAATAGGACACATGAGGCACTATGCTATTCATTCCAGGAACCACTGATTAGGTGGTGCATCCCCTTATCAATCACATCACCATGATAAACTCTGGTGGTAATATTCTCTAGACTTAAATCCAGTTTCTCTCCAAACTTACACAGAGATCCCCATAAACATTTCTGAATCTGAGCCTTAATATATCTTACCTACACAACTAGACAAAAACAGCTTAAATTTTCTACCTAAAAAGAAATTTAATAGTTAATGTGATAAATTGAATACATACAAAATAGTCAACTCTTGTTACTAAAGCTTATTTTCTATAATGTTAAGATTTTAGGCTAAGTGCAATAGCTCACCACCTATAATCCCAGCACTTTAGCGGGCCCAGATGGGAGGATTGCTTGAGCCCAGGAGTTTGAAACCAGCCTGGGTAAAATAGCAAGACCTCAGTTACACAAGACAAAAATCAAACAACTGGCATGTTCCTGTAGTCCCTGCAACTCAGGAGGGCTGAGGCAGGAGGACTGCCTAAGCCCAAGAGGTCGAGGCTGCAGTGAGCTGTGATCATGCCACCGCACTCCAGCTTGAGTGACAGAGACCTCAACTCAAAAAAAAAAATAGATTTTAACACTGCATATCATAGTTTAATATCAAAAACTTCTCTAGATGAATTACTGACTATGCACTTAATACAGTCCAAAAATTGATACCGATAATCACAGTACCTGAAATTTATAATTATTCTGCCACATGAACACCTTAACTACTCTTCTCCAACATATATGCAAAAAACAGCCCATCCCCCCCAAAATGCCAGGAGTTGTACCTCAGCCTGATGGACGCTCCATTTTATGGACATTACTAACCTTCTGTGATTGTTCCAGCCCCAGCAGATTCAGTAAGTCCATATCCCTGACCAACAGGACAGCAAAAGCAGATATTCATGAATCGCTGTGTGGTTGCAGAAAGCGGAGCACCGCCACACAACAGAAGTCGAATATTTCCACCTAGCAAGCTTCGAACTTTCCGGAAAACAAAGCTTTAACAAAGGGAATCAGGGAATAACAGGATTTTAAAACTGAACAAGATTTTCCAAATCACTTACATTTATCTCCCAATTTTGATACAAGAGATTCTGAAATTAAGTGACTTATCCAAGTCACACAGCCCATTTGGAAGATTCCTTTGACTCACTACTTATAATCTTAAATTTTTAAAAATTCTAAGTTCTAGCCGGGCTCAGTGGCTCAGCCTGTAATCCCGCACCTTTGGGAGGCTGAGGTGAGTGGAATGCCTGAGCCTGCAGGTTCGAGACCTGCCTGGGCAACTTGGCAAGACCTCATCTCTACAATAAATCAAAAAATCAGCCAGGCATGGTAGTGCATGACTGTAATTCCGGCTACTTGGAAGGCTGAGGCGGAAGGATCACCGGAGCCCAGCAGATCGAGGCTGCGGTGGCCGGGAGCGGCCACTGCACTCCAGTCTGGGGGACAGAGTGAGACTCCAACTCACAAAAAAAAAAAAAAAAAGAAAGAAATGTGTATGTATTTGTATACAGCAATCTAGCTTTTTTTTTAAGGTTTCCCTAATTCAACTTTTGAAGCGTTTACATTGAAAAAGAAATGATAAATTATCTGTAAGGCATTAAAAGGGAAAAAAAGGTTGGGTCAGTGTCTCACTCCTGTAATCTCAGCCCTTTGGGAAGTGGAGGAGAGAGGACTGCCTGAGGCCAGGGGTTCAAGACCAGCCTGGGCAACTTGGCAAGACCTCTACAATAAATCAAAAAATTAGCCGGGCATGGTGCTGCATGCCTGTAGTGCCAGCTACTTGGAAGGCTGAGACAGAAGGATCACCCAAGTCCAGCAGGTCAAGGCTGCAGTGACCATCAGTTGGCCACTGTGCTCCAGCCTGGACGACAGAGAATCTAACTAAAAGGGAAAAAAAAGAGGGGGGAAACAATTTAAATATCTAATCGATATGTTTCTGAAAATACACTAATTTAAAAGTCTGAATATAGTGGCTTACACCTGCAATCCCAGTACTGTGGGAGGCCAAGGCAGGAGGACTGCTTGAGCCTAGGAGTTCAAGACCTGCCTGGGCAACGTAGTGACACCCCACCCCCTGCCACCCGTCTTTAAAAAAAAAAAAAATCAAAAACAAAATACAGTCTACTTACTATTCTGATTTTAAAAGGGGAGGATAGTCTTTAAAATTAAAAATTCAAACTTTGAAAAAGGTTAAGACTAAATGGCAGCTATTTTAAAAGAAAATATTAAAGGATTTCTCAATGTAGGTTATACAGTCGTTTCTTGTACCAGTCCTAAAGATACCAAAATCCACAGATGCTCAAGTTGAACATCTTATGCAAAATAGTGTAATATATCATATAAACTAAGTACACCATTCTATATGCTTCATATCATGTCTAGATTACTTATGATACCTAATACAATGCAAAGAGTTGTATTGTTTCATTGGCCTTTTTCATTGCATTTTTTTTTTATTGTTTTTTTTTTTCTTCCCTGAATATTTTTTATCTGAGGTTGGTTCAATTCAGATGCAGGATCTGAGGATAGGGAACTAACATATCTCATGAAGAGATAACTTAAATAAGGCAGGAAAAAAAACTTATAAAGATCTAAATAATGTGAAGCATCTGAAAACTAAATTAATATTCTCATAATAAATAATTTACATGCCATACTTTCATTTTCTAATTTCTAAACTATTTATAATAAATCATAAAACTATTAACTCTATTAACAGTACAAAAATACAGGTCTGGAATAAAACTGATCATTTAAAACTTTAAACACAATACATTTAATCATATTTACTTGCCATTTTATATTCAAGTTGAAATAAATTTACAAGAGAAAATATTTTTCAAAACAAAATTATCTAAATGTTCATAAAAAACATAAACTATTAAATAATAGCAAAATCATAAATGAATTTTTTTTTTTAAAAAAACAGTGTAGTTCTTTTCTAACGGCTCACATTCTTACACAGGATGGATTTTTAAAGAGTCCCTTTGACTTTTTATAATAATTATAAGTATCTCAATTAACCGGGCTATTGATGTAAACTAAATGAGCAAAACGTCAAGGGAAGAGAAAGGGAGGAAAAGAGGGGAGGTCTTTACTTACCTATCACACAGTGGAGTACTACGCCCCTTTGAAATCTGTTCCATTTTGTAATTATAGGCCAAAATAAACAGATTGCGTTGAAAACTACTCATCTCATTCACTTTATTCATGACATTTTTGTAGATCCGATCCATGATTTCCTATGAGGATAAAAATGAGTTAATATAGTTAATAATGATTATCAGCTGCCCTTACTCAAATCTTAACATCAGATTACTACTGCTATCATTATTTGAGTTGGAGTTTCACTCTGTCGCCCAGACTGGAGTGCAGTGGCCGCTCCCGGCCACCGCAGCCTCGACCTGCTGGGCTCCCGTGATCCTTCCGCCTCAGCCTTCCAAGTAGCTGGAACTACAGGTCCGCGCTACCACACTCAGCTAATTTTTGATTTATTGTAGAGATGAGGTCTCGCCAAGTTGCCCAGGCGGGTCTCGAACCCGCAGGCTCAGGCAATTCACTCACCTCAGCCTCCCAAGGCGCGGGATTACAGGCTGAGCCACTGAGCCCGGCTAATATTAAGCATTTTAAAAGATGAATCCTATCAGGACCAAACTTTAAAAATAAAGCCACAATTAGTTTAAAAATGAGGTTTCTGCAAAAACAATTCTAGCAGCAAAAATATATCTAGATATGCATATGAATAGTAAGAAAAAAGACACAAAAGCCTTATGGCAGGAATACACCATTACTGATTCTTCACATTAAATTACTTTTTTATTGAATTATCCTGAACTGAAAAGTTAACTCACAAAATAAATGAACATCTGAAAAGGCTTTTTTTTAATCTCTTAATTTTATCTTACAAACATACAGAATAACACACTCTTTGCTCACAAAAAAAGGACCATGAGATTTTTTTGGATTTTTGTTTGACTATCTTTTAATACTGCATCCAAGAAATTTTTCAGGTCTGTTTAATGACTTAAAATAATTTTATCCTACAATTTAAAATTATATGTAATTTTTAAGTGAACTAAGAATTTAAAGTAGGGTACTACTTAGGAAACTATAATCATACGTAACAGAAACTTCAAAACTAGTGATTATATTTGATTTTGAAATAACTATGTAATTATGCTTGATGTAAGCACTCAAGTATCTGACAATAATTCCAGAAAGCCTACATTAGGAGGAGTCAGAAAATCACTGCTGTCCCATTTCTCTTATCTTTTCTCAGGCCCCTGTATCACATTAGGGTGCACAGTACTTCTCATATAATCAAGTTTGCACCAACTTCTCTGTCACTTTTTATGGTGTTTAAACCAAACTTTCCCTGAAGACTCAGGAGATAATTATACAATTTTCTTAGAAGGGGGTGGTAATCTCAATTCTTCCCTCCTTTTTCATGCTGTGCTTCAAGTTTCTACAAATCAGCAAACAGATAACATGAAAATGATTTTAACAAGAAGTTACTTAGTGGATAATTTTGCATGGAAGCTGAAAATGAGTGTTTTACAGAAAGAAATAAGCTAAAACAAGATTGACTAAATCCTGTAGAGCGTAAGATAATATTGATAATCAATTAAAAAATAAATCCTACATAAACTAGCTTGTCAGCAACATCTTTTTTACTAACTAGCACTAATGCTTTAGTGGTGGTTACTACACCTTTAGTACTCAATATTAAATAATAGTCAATTCTTACCGGAACAGCTGCCATCAATGTTGGTTTCAACATGGATGTATCCCCTTTGCTTCCTTTTTTTATCTTTGAAGACTATGAAATGGAGAAAAAAAGTGATCCATACAAAATGATCCTTACTTTTAAAATTCAATGCAATTCTTAGATCAAAAAGCTTACTATAAATTCATCATTATATTATACTTATCTCCTAAGAAACACTTAAAAGGAAAAAGCTTATTTTAAAATAACAAACTATCACCATTACAAAATAGTCCTACTGACTAAAAAAAAATGTGCTAAAAATAATTATAAATTGGTATTTCAAGTCACAGACATTTAATTTACCTGATCTGCTAAAGTCTGTGGTGAGGAATAACCAATGCGGCATCCATGAGAAAGACAAACAAGCTCAGCACTTAATTCTAGAACATGGGCCAGAGGCAAATATCCAACATACACATCTTCCTCTCTAAAAGAAAAAGAAAAGGGACACAGAAGAAGCAACAGTCAGGTGTTGTCTTGGCCAAAAGAGACCTATAATGGGACCAGCTTGAAGGCACATGGAAGGACCCCCGGGGCATCAATCTGCTGGTGGACAGCGTGAGAGTGTGTATATGTAAGAGAGACAGATAGACAGAAACAGACAGACACTGGGGATGTGAAAGGAAAAAAAGAACTACAGCTCAACCTAGAAGTGAAGAGGTAGATACTCTCAAGAAGGGAGTCTGTTTCTAGCCCTACTAAAGGGCACTTGGGAATTATGAATGCTGAAGAAGCAAAGTGCTAAGGCAGAAGAAATAGAGGCTTAAAAAATAAATGAAGAGTTCCTCTGAAGGACAGAAGAAATCAAAGGAGGAAATGGTCTTTAGTTCTAGTGGGCTGCCAATAAGAAGAATTCAGACAGAAATTCGAATAGAATTCTTCTACAAGAGACTTTGCAGAAGAGATTCTTGTTCTAAGAGTAGGATTAAATAATACATTTTAATCTTAATATATAAGAAAATATGTATGTATGCATATTTCAAGAACTGGCCCCACACTCTGAGGCAAACCTATAAGGACACTGCTGGTCTTAATTTTTCCTGAAATGTATGCACACATAAGAGAAATTTCCCTCCCTCCCAAGTTCAGTCCCATAGTGATCGTGCGCCCGCATGTGCATGCATTTGTGTGTACATGTGTGTACGTGTGTGTGTAATTTGGGGCATAAATATCCAACCACTGCACCACATTCATCATCAGAATACGATTCCCTCTCTGGCAACGTTCCCTTGACAGTCCCTCAAACTTCATCTGATACCCTCCATCAGTCTCCTTCCCACTCCATTATACTCTCCCCTGCTACCACTGGAGTTCGTCCTAACAAGAAAAATCAGACTGAATACAAAAGTTCAATAAATACTTACTGGACAGATTAAGTTATCTGTTCATGTGAATTGTATTTAAATAGAAATATAACTATAGCAGCAACGATACCAGCTGATTGAAATAAGTTTAAGTTAAGGGATTCACAACTATAAAGACAGTTAAAAATATAGTATTACAAATGTTATCATTACAACAGACATAAATACTGAACAACTCAGTGTTATTTTCCTACGACATACCCCAGGCCTGGAATCCTTTCCGCCATTCCGGTTATACCAGCAATAATGTTGCTATGTGAGATCATGACCCCTTTTGGAAGTCCTGTGGAGCCACTCGTGTACATGATTACTGCAATATCCGAGGGCAATGGTCTGCTATGCGGTTGGTTTTCTGTATTGAAGAAAAAATATATACTTTTGAGAAATTCAGCCATATCATCAATTTTTCCATAATCATTTATTTGTTAACTCAATACAACAAATATTGATTATACTCAAACAGAGGTCAAAAAAACAGATCAAGTCTCTGCACGTAAGACATATATTCTATTGGGATAGACAAACAGATTAATCTACGAAAATACATGAAACGAGACAAGGTGAGAGGATGATAGCAGGTGCTATTTACATGGAAGAGTCAGGGGACATCTCTCGGTAGAGTTGTTACTTTAGCCAAGATCCAAATAAAGTGAGGAAGGGGGCCATGAAAACCCTGGAATTGGGAGAAGAGTGTTTTTGGAAGGAAATGAGCAAGTGCAAAGGCCCTAAGGTAGGAATGTGCTTGGCCTACCTAAAGACAGAGAGGCGTGTGGCAGGAATGTAGTAAGCAAGAGGAAGAGAGACAGGAAATGTTGGTGAAGTGGCTGCCAGGGCCACACATAGGGCCTTAGAGGCCAGGCTAAGGACTTTGGGTTTCACTCTGCATAGAAAGCAATACTATTTTGAACAGGGGGCTTGTCATCATCTGTGACAAGACCACTTTGACTGCTGTGTGGCTTTCTAACTTTAGAAAGGAAAAAAAGAGCTGGGCATGGCAGCACACACTTGTAATCCTAGCAATTTGGGAGGCGGAGGCAAGAGGACTATTTGAGCTCAGGGGTTCACGACCAGCCTCAGCAACATGGCGAGACCTCATCTCTACAAAAAATTAGCTGGGTGTGGTGGCATGCGCCTGCAGTTCCAGCACCTGGAAGGCTGAGGTAGAAGGATCGCCTAAACCCAGCGGGTCGAGGCTGCGGTGGCCATGAGCATGCCGCTGCACTCTAGCATGGGTGACAGAGTGAGACTCCAACTTAAAAAAAAAAAAAAACAGAAAGAAAAAAGGAATCAGGAATCAGGGAGATAAAATGCTATTCCAGTAATTCAACTAAGAAATATGGTTTGGGCTAGAGTAACTAGATATTTGCTAAAAACTACCCACCGCTTCACAGCAGTGAAGTTAACTTGGTTAGCTTCCTGGACTAAAAAGCAATGTAACCCACTCGCACTCATAAGGCTACAAGCCTAAGGACAGTAGGCAACATGCTACAGAGATGACAGAGCAGAAGGACAAAGAGAAATAGGTCACAGATGACGCTGCTGATATGCCTAAACTACTCTCAGAACCACTCAGAAGTCTAAGTAAGTGTGGAAAAAAAACCCCTTTAAACATGCTCCCAAGAGAATGCATCTCTCCAACTCGTCCAGATGTATTTCTTGAAACTGTTTTCATTTGGAAGTCTTTTCTCCGTATCTGCCATTCACTCCTTCAACTTCTAGCGCCCTTTCTCACCACCACTTCTTGGAAACTGCAATACTTATGTCATCTGACCTCTCTAAGCACCTGCTTCTGCTGCTAACTCATCAATCTCCTTTCTTGGCTCCCATGAGCCACACACTACATGTTTTCGTCTTTCCTTTCTGGTTAGTCCTCAGTGGCCTTTGGGACAACCATTCCTGTGGGTAATCTCACCTACTCCACAGCTACAATTAAACCTAACTGCTTTTAGCTACCAAATCTCGTAATTCCAAATGTAACTTCAGAGTACTAGACCCATATATGGCCACTGCCCACTGATACCACATTTGAATGTCTCACCAGCACCTAAAATCCAACATGCCCAAAATGAATGCCAGCATAACCCCCATCACTAAGTTTCCAACAACAGAGGAAATAAAGTCCCAGCATTCCAGAAACTTTTGCAATCTCTCTAAACACTACGATACTCATTAACATTTCTGACACCTATTTGGCAGCAGGCACTTCTAGAGCCAGTATGCCTAGGTGTGCTAGTAGAAGAAGGCTGTCTCCTCTAGGAAGGGGAGAGTTGGGTGGGAATAAAAGGAGGGTTCCAAGTTATGTCGCTCTACCTATTAATATTTACAGGCCAACTTTTTTTTTTTTTTTTTTTTTTTTTGAATTGGAGTCTCACTCGGTCACCCAGACTGGAGTGCAGCGGCCGCTCCCGGCCACCGCAGCCTCGCCTGTTGGGCTCCAGTGATCCTTCTGCCTCAGCCTTCCAAGTAGCTGGAATTACAGGGATGCGCTACCATGTCCGGCTGATTTTTTGATTTATTGTAGAGATGAGGTTCGCTGCCCAGGCGGGTCTCGAACCCGCTGGCTCAGACAATCCACTCACCTCAGCCTCCCAAAGGCGCGGGATTATAGGCTGAGCCACCGAGCCCGGCTACAGGCCAACTTTAATGACATTATTAAACTTAAAGCAAAACTGAATAATGTAAAAGAAAAGCATTTTAATTTCAAATAAATACTGTTTTTAGAACATAAAAAATTAATGTTTGTATTTGTCCTTAAACCTTTCTTTAAAGGGTAAAGTACACCTAGAGGGACCTTCGTCAATGATGGTCTAGACAGTTGGTATGCCAATTTCAGGATGAACTCTTTGGCATAATTCTGAGAATGCGGTCACTCCAGAGAACACATGTAAGGAATTAGGAAAGAACGACATACCCATGTTGGCCTTGGCTCCCAGAACCTGCACCGCAGCCATGGTATGCACGATGACGCCCTTGGGGAACTCAGACCAGTTTGGTGGCTTCCCATCAACAGTGATGATGTGCTGCAAGCGTGGGACCAAAGAAACGATATCCTAGAAATACACAAACACTGATCACGCTCATTACCTTTCAAACAGTTTAGCAATAATAGCTCAGGACATAAGAAAAGTAATTTACTACATTCAATAAATTATTAATGTCTTGTCTCAGAAAGAAGAAAGGGTGCTCTACTTTAATGTCACTTTTTTCATATGGAGAAATATTGGTCTGAATTAAATTACTATTTTACACCACTAGATTTACTGTGTATATCCCTATACTTTGGTAAAACCCTAATCAAGAGGGATACTGCCTTACAAAAAGGGCATGTATACACAGGCTGCTTGAATACAGAGAAACCAAAAGCCCTCATGTTTTCAAAAGACTAAATAAAAACTTATGGGAAGCCGGGCTCGGTGGCTCAGCCTGTAATCCCTTGCCTTGGGAGGCTGAGGTAAGTGGACTGCCTGAGCCCGCGGGTTCGAGACCCACCTGAGCAACTTGGTGAGACCTCATCTCTACAATAAATAAAAAAAAAAAACTTAGCCGGGCGTGGTAGCGCACGCTTGTAATTCCAGCTACTTGGAAGGCTGAGGCAGAAGGATCGCGGGAGCCCAGCAGGTCGAGGCTGCGGTGGCCGGGAGCGGCCACTGCACTCCAGTCTGGCGACTGAGTGAGACTCCAACTCAAAATATATATATATATAAATATATATATATATATATATATATATATATATAAATAAATAAAAACTTATGGGAGAAGAAAGAGGAAATTCACAAGTAAACTTGTTTAAAAAGATATTTGTTTTCATAGAAAGTTGTCTAGAGACTAAAGAAATCCTTTTACTATAATTTCTTGTCTCCCTTTTTAACTTTCAAAAAATTCTGTTAACTCACAATTACTCAAAGATTCAGAAGTAAAATAAAGAAATTACTAGTTTAAAATACAACCCTTGAAAATTATACAAATTTACTAAAAGTAGATTAGAAATAGATGAGTGCAGTAAAGGAAAAAGTAGTTACAAATTCCTTCAATTTAGACAGAAGCATATTAACAATGCATAATGCTAGACTCTTTAAACATGAATATACTTTTTACTTTCACTTTTTATTTTCTAAAGGAAAGGAATAAAGTATACTACTCTTAAAAGCTTACAAAGATATTAAGGATTCAGAAGTTATAAAGAACTAAGTATCAGCCGGGCTCGGTGGCTCAGCCTGTAATCCCGTGCCTTTGGGAGGCTGAGGTGAGTGGATTGCCTGAGCCCGCAGGTTCGAGACCCGCCTGGGCAACTTGGCGAGACCTCATCTCTACAATAAATCAAAAATTATTCGGGCGTGGTAGCACACGCCTGTAGTTCCAGCTACTTGGAAGGCTGAGGCGGAAGGATCGCCGGAGCCCAGCAGGTCGAGGCTGCAGTGGCCGGGAGCAGCCACTGCACTCCAGTCTGGGCGACAGAGTGAGACTTCAACTCAAAAAAAAAAAAAGAACTAAGTATCAATAACAGGACTCATGGTGGGGCATGGTGGCTCATTCTTGAAATCCCAAGCACTTTGGGAAGCTGAAGCAGGAGAACTGCTTGAGGTAAGGAGTTCAAAAACAGCTTGAGCAACACAGCAAAACCTCATCTCTACAAAAAAATCAAAATATTAGGCAAGCATGATAGCATGCACCTGTAGTCCCAGCTACTCAGGAGGCGTAAGGATCATCTGAACCTCGGAGGTAGACTCAAAAAAACAATAAAAGTAACAAGACTCATGACACTGATAAGTCTAAAGTATCAAACAGTTATTAGGTTAACTATAGACCTTACCTTCAACTTCGTTTGCAAGAGTTCTTTGCTAGTAATGATGTTGGTCACCTCTGTTTCATTTAATCCATGAACAATTGCTGGACCACCTAGAGTGGCATATAATGTAACAACTACAAGAAAACGAAGCAACAAGTCAAAAACATTTCAGGAACCACCAGTGTACATAAAGTCACTGAAAGTGGATATGAATCCTAATAAAGCATTCTGAACCTATTCAATTATTAAATTCACAGTCTATAGGAAACTACTGTGTTTTTAGAAAATATCTTAACATGTTAATTAATGTTATACCTACCTACAGTTCCCCAAAAAGTCACCAAGATTTCCAATCTTATAAGATGAAAATTTTCATTTTATTTTGTTTCACCTACACATGTTACTCTGAGACTATCACACTGGGAAAGAGTTATAACAGATTTCTAAAATTTCAAAATCTTAATTGTTTAATACCTGGTACTGAAATGTGAACATATACCAATACAGAACATATACCAATAAAATGACAAACTGAATGTCAGATTTTAGGTATTATACGTCAAAAAACAGCACGAACTAGTTGCAGCACTACTGCTCATTGTAAGGCAAAAATATCAAAAGAAAAATATTCTTAGAAATGCTAAAATTACACAGTGTGAATAATAATGTGGATATCTCTTTCTGCCAATTCAAAAGTTAGAAATGAAATGACTTTTAAAATGATTTTAAAACTTCTCAAAAGAAACATAATATAAATCCAAGCCAGTGAAAATAAAAATGGCATGCTTGTTTAAAAGAAAAAGTGGAGACAGTGACAGCAAAAAATATGGTAGAAGTATATTTTCTGTTTCACCTGAAGGATGAGACAACATCCAAAATTATCATCAATTTCTGGCACCAAGACCTCTGAGCTTAAAATTCCAGAACTATCTCACAGACTGAGCCACCACCATTACCACTCAAAAAATTATAATATGAAAATGCTCTATATTTAACCTACTACCTTGAAGTGCACAAGGGTTCAGCATGAACATGTTTTAGAAGTCAACTGTAGTGACTGACAGAAGTGACATAACAAAATGACAGTCACTTCTAAAGGGGAAATCTGAGAAATGATAGCAGAGCAATGAAACCTAAGTGTGGTCTAGTTCTAGCTCCCCAGACCTGGAAAGTCCCCTGTTAAATTAGCGACCAGCAGATTTTTCACTTTCCTAATACTGAAAGTGGGTGATATTTTTAAAAACCTGAAGCTGGTTGCCACAGACTTCTGTCGTTAAATACAAGTGAAATGGTCTTTTCTAAATGGTCACCCTTTTCATAATACAGTCAAAAGTTGCAGACATAACCAGTACTTGCCTCAGACACCACTGACTAGCATTCTGTACTTTGTATTTTTAATCAGATTAGAAAGCCAAAAAGACAGCCTTCCGCAATAAGGTGAATTCACGGCAGCAGCAACCAGGGACAGGGTTTGGAATGACATAAATTCCTATCAGTGGTTGCGAATGAGTGAACAGGCTCAAGCCTTCTCACTACACTGACTGACACAATTTGTTATACAACCGGTTCCTTTTCCAAAATAAACCAAAAATTCCAAGCCATAAGAATGAGTTCTCTCTATTAATCAGATGCATGGTGAAAATTCATATCAGAATTTTAACCTCTTGAGATTGTATTATAATAAAAAGCTTTCTTTTAGAAGTGAAGAAAACCTACGTACGCTGAAAGTTATACATAAAACACGCCTGTGCAGCAATCATCCACTCGGCCCTGGTTTCACAGAAGATGGCGATGTTGGTCTTCGGTTTCTGACCCAACATCTGTAAGCCATTTCCAAAATTAAGGGCTTGAATGAAGACATCTTCATAGGAGAGCCAATTATAGTGTCCAAGAATAACCTGATAGAAAAAAAAAAATACAAATATCTTATAATATAGTCAATTTACTAACTTACAGAAAGAAATCAGAATATGTTCCTAATTTTATGACAAACTAGAAACTTAAGTTTGCATAAAGCTTTTCCCTAACCAAATGCTAAAAATTGTGCTTAAAGTGAAAAATCTATTTTGAAAATTAGCTATTTGGTGACATCTATGACAATTCAAATCATAGAATACTTTAAAACGTAATTGGGGGGGCTTTATTTTTGGTTTTCAAAAATACTCAAGAGTTTGGTGGACTCTTAAAGGTCAACCTACTGGCCAAATAATCACATACAAATAACTCACTTATAGATTTCATCTATTTAAATGACTTAGGTGTTAATTTAAAATTCAGCCTTGAATGAGCACAACTGAAACCAAAATTTTACTCTCCCTCTACTTAGGAATTCCTAGATTTCAGTAGCAGATAGATACAATATGATCCAAAAACAGAAACTGGCCCTACCCTAAGCTAATAGAAATATTTATGGCTGCTCAATTTGAACTGCTGTATCAAACTCTGGATAAACAAAGTCAACAAGTCTCACTTATGCAATCAGGTGAGGACTTGTTATATTATTCATTAAAGTCCCTCTGTTCAAGCCTTAAATGTTTACTGGCACCCTCAGGCTTTCAACATTTTATTTGTGTTATCAGAAGTCAGCCTGCATTAGTAATAATCACCCTTTCAAGGTGGTTAACATATTTTTGTCTTTAAAGATTTCCTTCAACTTCACTGAGATCATAAATCCCCAATTAATAACGATTGAAAAAAAGTTCCTCCTCTTGAAAAAATATACAGATAATTCCCAAACATGGCTGTGTCCATAATAAACATTTCATGCACCTTAAAACCATCCCAAAATACTCTTTTTTAAAAATGTAAACAACATTTAAGAGATTTCTAGAAATAAGAGGTTGGGTGAAGATAAAAGTGAGAAAGGATAAATGCTGCCATCTAGTGTCCTGTTCAATGACAGATTTAAGAAGAAAGTCTTATTTTGATGGACAAGGCAAACTGTATTGAAGATGATACTTATTTAACGTTAGTGGTCCCAAACTCTCACCTTGCTCTGCACCCCCACGAGATGCTCAGCACAGGGAGCTCCAATGACTTCTAAAGGAGCTCTGTGGGGGTGAGAAGACAGATGAGAATTTGGCCAAAACGTGCAAGAATTGGATTACAAAAATTAAGAATGTTACATGCCAAAGATAAGAATGAGTTATCTTCTAGATTCTATAATCTAAATGACAGGCTTTATAAATCTCAAAGAATGTGTGTGCACTGAAAAGTTGTTTGATATATAATCCTAATACGTAAGCTCATGCAGTGATGCCACCATATGGCAAATAAATCAAATCATGAGTTCAAGTTTGTTTCCTCATATATAGAAAACAAAATACAGACCAAAATACGAATTGCATTTCTTTGATTCCTTAAACCACTGAATAATTACTGCTAGTAATTATCCTTCTCATAAAGATAACATTTAGAGGATGCTACCCACTCCGTAATTTCATCTGACTTGTGCTGAAGAAAGTTTCTAACTCTAACTTGGTCCCTATAGTTAGCCCAAACTAAGATTAAACTCATCTATTTATTACCTGCCTGTATTACTGAACACTGCTGCAGAAAAACACCCGACTTTATTAAATCCAGAACTATAGACTGCAGCATCCTGCAATCCTATATACAAGGGGACCTCCATCCCCCAAAAAAACACAATTTTTTTTTTTTTTTTTTGGAGGACAGGCTTCCCCCATTAGCTAAGTGTTCTAGGAATCCATCAGCATCAATCTACCAGTTAGCATTGTTGTGAGAGGCTGCGTTCAGCTTCAATGAATTTGTTTTGTGTTTTGAGATTCTTTCAATGCATTTGCTTATTTCATGATGTTTTTTGAGATTCTTTCAATGCATTTGCTTATTACAAGGGCTCCTGCCCACACCACACTGAATATTCAGCAGTTTTTAACCAAAAATGGCATGACCCCCATGGCCCACCTCCTCTATTCAACTGATCTCACCCTAAGCAACTCTGTTTCTCTGGATGAAAAATGACGTCAGAGGGAGACATTTTGCCAACGTGGAAGACGAGAAATAAAAAACAGCAGAAGCAGTAAAAGAAACCAAAATTAACAAGTTCAAAAACTGCTTTGAGCAGTGGAAAAAGCATCTTGACAGGTGTATTGCATCAGAGTATTTTGAAGGTGACTGAAGTTTAAATATGTAAGAATAAACACACAATATTTTATAAATAAATTTTGGGGTTTTTGGGAAGTTTAAATATGTAAATTTTTTATAAATTTTGGTAAACTCGTTTTCTGACCCTCTGAAATAGTTTTGAAGCTTTTTCTCTACACAAACATCCTTTGCCCTCACTTCCTCACTTCCAGGTGATGATCTTGTTCATACTGAAAACCTCTTTAAGCATCAGGACTTTTTTAACTTTCACTATTGGGAATAGAAGTATTTCATAATTATATACTCCCCTGTCTTTTTTAACAATGTACACCTGGCTTCGTTTAACCTTTCTCTCTGCAACTAAAGATCATTATGAAAAAAATAATTGTGATGGGCCTAGGGAGTGAAAATATTCAAGAGATGTGGATGCTTGGAAATACTTATAATAATAATTATGATGAGGGCAGTTAACCTTTACTAGTGCTTACTACGTACTAAGTACATTTCAATGGTTAACTTGTTAAACATGCACCACAACTATAAGAGACCATTACTTTTCTTTTTTTTGAGTTGGGGTCTCACTCTGTCAACCAGATTGGAGTGCAGAGATACAATCACAACTCACCACAGCCTCGACCTCCTGAACTTTGACAATCCTTCCACCTTAGCCTCCAGAGTAGCTGGAACTACAAGGCTTATACCACCACACACCACCACATTCAGCTAATTTTTCTTTTCTTGTTTTGGTAGAGACGAAGTCTCGCTATGTTGTTCAGGCTGGTCTCGAACTCCTAAACTAAAGCAATCCTCCTGCCTCAGTCTCTCAAAGTACTGGGATTACAGTTGTGAGCCACCATGTCCAGCCTCTTTTGGGGTCAATTTAGAAGGAATGTCACAGCAAAGTCTTCTGTAAGCACTACAATTACATAATCTCTCTTATTCTCTTCTCTCTAATGTGTGTAAAATACAGAAGAAAAAATTCAAAGTGTTTCTGACAACTCACAAAATATTTGAACCAGCCTCATGCTCTTTTCTGTTTCTGCTATTTTTATTCTTGTAACTTTGTTCTATTTAAGACACACATGTATTTTAAAGTTGTTCTGAAATCAATCACTTTACGGTTCTTCATTCCAAGACATTACTGCAATGCTTTTAATGCTGAGAAAACTGGAATCTGGTGATAGTAACCCATACTCCAAATCTTAATTCTGCCACAGACACAGCAGTCCTGAAAAGGCCTGCCATGCCACGAATGCCTTTTGTTTCTCTTTGGCCCCAGAAAGTTTCATCTTGGGGAAGCTGGGGACCACTCTATCTTCTTTCACTTATGAAGCTCAATGGAAAACAAAGCCTCAACATTCATTTATTTAAAATAAAGTTTGTGCATCTTTGCTTCAACCACCAGATATATCTTAGGGTTAACCCCCAAAAATCTGCTCCCTAAAATGTTTTAGATACTGCCACATCATTAGCGTTCTTTTCCAGTTGAAGATAATGATCTATTTCCTAAAGATACACTTCATCAGCCAGGCTCAGTGGCTCAGCCTGTAATCCCGCGCCTTTGGGAGGCTGAGGTGAGTGGACTGCCTGAGCCTGCGGGTTCGAGACCTGCCTGGGCAGGCGAGACCTCATCTCTACAATAAATCAAAAAGTTAGCCAGGCGTGGTAGCGCGCACCTGTAATTCTAGCTACTCGGAAGGCTGAGGCAGAAGGACTGCCAGAGCCCAGCAGGACGAGGCTGTGGTGGCCGGGAGCAGCCACTACACCCCAGTCTGGGCGACAGAGTGAGACTCCAACTCAAAAAAAAAAAAAGATACACTTCATCAAAAATATGTCTTCTGACCTCTCTCCTGAGCTTGATCAGTTAGGAGACACTAAGGGCAGAAGCAACTCAGCTTAATCCACTTTTCAATATCCCAGGCAGATGCTAGTACTGCTGCAATTCGATGGGTGTATCAGGGAATGGAGGGGGGAAAATTAAAGAGCCCAGCATATTTAACATGCAACTGGGATAACCACTCATATACACAGACCACTGCCACAGCTGCAAGACAAGCACAGCAGAAACCAAGTCTCAGCTGCCAGTGCTGTGGCACACTTTCTTCCTGAGTAAGGACATGAGAAAATATCTGCTTCATTTATTATTAAAAAACCTAAAATTTAATTCTACTTTCCCAATGAACCTAATTTTAGATAAGAAAAATACAACATGTTTCCATGTCAGAGACCAGGACTAGATAGAGCCTTCTGAACCAAATATGATGAACCACAAATGCCAATGTGACAGCAAATGCTAACAGTAGATCTTCTAACAAGGAAATTCAAAATTTCCTGTACCAAATAAAACCTCACAGTAACATACTACAGACAGAAAGTTACTGACTAAAAACAGTTTGTCAGAGCGGGCACAGTGGCTTAAGCCTGTAATCCTAGCACTTTGGGAGGTCGAGGCAAGAGGTCTGCCTGAGCTCAGGGGTTCAAGACCTGCCTGGGGAATTTGGCGAGACCTTGTCTCCACAATAAATCAAAAAATTAGCCGAGTGTGGTGGCACACGCCTGTAGTTCCAGCTACTTCGAAGGCTGAGGCGGAAGGATCCTCTGAGCCCAGCAGGTCGAGGCTGCGGTGGCCGTGAGCATGCCACCACACTCCAGCCTGGGTGACAAGAGTGAGATTACAACTCAAAAATAAATTAAAATAAAATAAAATAATAAAATCAGTTTATCTCATTTTCTAACTTCTATGAATTCAAATATGGCATGCTTTGTTGAGAAATCAATTAATACAAAGATACCATGGTCAAGGCAGGCAGGACACACACACACACACACACACACACACACACACAGTTGGGTGGTAGATTTTCCTTGTGTCCCTCCTATTTCCTATGTAATCTGGCAACATTTAGGGAAAAACTATGATAACTCTAGGATTGTATTCTGTCTAACTATATTGATACATGAGTTCATAAGAGGAAATTTCATATTTACCACAAGCTATTCTCCTTTTTACATAACAGAGAACTAGTTTGCTCCTATAAATAATGAACAATACGGAAATATAGTACAGTAAGTCCTCTACTTCATGCTGTGAACGTGTTATTTTATGCATTATTTCTCCCCACTAGGTGGCAGTATAGCCTGTTAAATAAATCAAATACTATATGATTGTGTCAGTTGGGTACCTAGGCTAACTTCATTGGACTTCCAACAAATTGGACGTATAAACATATTTCCAAACTGGAACGTGTCCGTATGCTGGGGACTTACTGTACTAGGCACAGAAAAATGTTTATAATATGTATGGGATACTAGAGAAAAATCAGCCTTCCTATAAAACTTGTTATATATGCTTAGACTAAAAATAAGAGAACCCAATTTTTTAATTCAAATGGCATACCAGATCAAAAGACAAAAATGAGTATCTTTTAGATATACCATGAGAGTCACAGAGAAGGCAGACGAGTAGAAAATTTCAGCACGTAAAAATGTAGTATATTCTGACTGGCACAGTGGCTGACACATAATCCTGGCACTTTGGGAGACCGAGGCAGGATTGCTTGAGCCCAGGAGTTCCAGGACAGCCTGGCCAAAACAGCGAGACCTCATCGCTACAGAAAATTTTAAAAATTAGTCAGGCATGGTGGCACATGCCTGTAGTCCCAGCTAACTCAGGAATTTCTAGAAACCAAGAACTATGGTTTCAAACCCAAAACTCCCCGACATTCTATTCTAAGCCCAGGTAGACCCATGTTCAGAAGAGCTCCTCACCAGAGGGTCTTCTCAATGTCTTTCAAAAAATTCAGAATAAAATCAGTGCTGGCAAGTGCAGAAAGAGACGAGAGCATAGTCTAATCCCCCTCCTATACTGCTTCTCCTGCAACATCAGCAAATTCCAACAGAAGCTGCCTGTGCTTGTCCGTCACTGTCATTTCTCAGAGTATATTTTGTTCTGAGAAAATTCAAAAGCAGTGAAAGATCATCTTACCTTTTTAAAAATTTTTCCATTTGGTTGTACTTCATCTTCCTCATTTAAAATTTCACGTGTTCCCAAGAGTCTTTTGTTCTTAAATTTGTTTTTTGCATACATAAAAACTTTATCTAGTGTATCACATCCAGGGTATAAAACTGAAGCCAAGCCATCCAAACTATTAACAGATCTGTATGCAGACCCAGGTCTTGAATTTACAGGCTTTGCTTTAATTTGGTTGGATTTTTCTTGTCTTGACTCAGAAAAAAAATAAAATGGAATGTATGTTAAAATAGTATAAAGTGATATTATAAAATGTATAAAATATAAAAGAATAGGATTGATGGTATGTTTTAGCTTCATGGTGGATGGTTTTGAAGATACGTGGTTATTCATGAGTGCTCAAAAGCAGAATTCAGAGATTTCAGCAAAAATCTAGAAGGGAAAAAAATGACATTAGTTCAAAAGCATTATAAAATAATTTTAAAGAAAAAGTATTTCTATTACAGAGGCAAATGAAGACTGTCTTCAATCGGCAGAGCTAGTAGTATACTGCCCCCCCCGTAATGTCGTGATAGTTCTAAAAGACTCATTTATATCACACCTATTAACAATAAAATTATAAGAAAGTTTTCATATCATACCGTCAACAGGTGGCCTTTCCAACCTAACCCCAAGTATTCACAAACATCTCCCAGGAGTTAAAAAGGGAACAAGATCAGAAATGAAGAAAGTGCGCTCATTTCCTGTTCTTTAGCATCTCACAGCACAAGGATGGAAAGTATTTTGTATACATGCCACGCCCTCCTCCCTCACAACCCTAAGCAGCCAGTGCTAAATAATCAATGTGCTCTCTCCTGTGAGCCCCATGCTCACTCTAGGCAGCTGTGAGCAACAGGAGTCGTTAAACCTACAAAAAGTACTTTCCACAGTGGCTCTACATATTTTTCACTTTAGGCAGGATAATTGTGAAGCAAGAAAGCAGTGAAATCTGTTCTTTCTTTCTTCTTTTTTCAGAGACAGGGTCTTGCTCTGTCACCATGGTTGAAGTACAGTGGTGCTATCATGGCTCACTGCAGTCTTGAACTCCTAGGAGCAAGAGATCCTCCTGCCTCAGTCTTCCAAGTAGCTAGGACCACATGCCTGCACCACCACCACACCCAACTAATTTTTTTATTTTTTGTAAAGATGAGATTTCACTACATTACCCATGCTGGTTTTGATCTCCTGACATCAAGCAATCATTCTGTGATTTTTATTCATCAGATTCATTGAAAATCTACCATTAGATAACTATTCTAAGTACTGAGGACATAACAGTGAACAAAATGGCCTACGTTCCACCTTCATGGAACCTACACATTCACTGGGGAGAAGCAGAAAAGCAGCTATGTGTGTATGAATGTATGCACACATACATGCCAGGTGATGATTAATGCTATGAGGAAAAATAAACCCAAGTGAGGGAAACGCAAGTGACTGGGGCACTCTAGAGGTGCTCTAGGCACGGGATACCTGAAGTGAGATGCATAAGGAAGAGAGAGAGTGCACCCTGCTTATCTGCGGGAAAGAGCACTCGGCAGGGCAAGCAGCCCTAGTGTGGGAGATGGGTTAAACAAGACAATTCTTGAAGAAACAAAACTGAAGCTAACTACTACCCAACTACCTTTCCCAGATCCAAATTCGGGACTATAGTTTCTCCCCAAGAGAAGTAAGTAGTCAGTATTTGCCATCTCCCATCCCCCACTGCCGAGGTATAGAAATTCTATTCCAGCAAGTGTGGCTGGACAAGCGATCTGAGGAATTCCTTCTTTCGCCCAGTCCCCACTCTTAGGGCAGAAGTTCCACCCCAGGTGCAGCAGGCCAAAAACACTGGGCTCAGGTTATCTTTACCTCAGTTCTTATAAGGCAGAGGTTCCGTGCAGGCAAAGAAGCACCAATCCAAGAAGACTGATGGCTACATTGATGGCCTAGCACACCACTCACAGAGCAGAGATGTAACCCCAAGAAAACCAAGTCCCTGTCCCTGCTCCAGCTCGAGGATGGCACAGAGGTTCTGCACAAACTGGAGAAGGAGGCTTCAAGAATGGAGAGTTCCTTAGCAAGATCTAAGAAGACTGACTTTATTTGGAACAGACAATGGAGAAGTTCATGCCCAATGGCACTGTTGCAAACTATGCAGACTTTAGTGGTGGGCAATTAAGATGAGGCTGGCTAGCCAGCACGGTGGGTCATGTCTGTAATCCCAGCACTTTGGGAGGAAGAGGAGAGAGGACTGCCTGAGTCCAGGGGTTCAAGGGCACCTTGACGAGACTGGTCTCTAAGATAAATCAAAAAATTTCCCTGGCATGGTTATGCACACCTGTGGTTCCAGTTACTTGGAAGGCTGAGGCAGAAGGATCGCCGGAGCCCAGCAGGTCGAGGCTGCGGTGGCTGGGAGCAGCCACTGCACTCCAGTCTGGGCGACAGAGACTCCAACTCAAAAAAAAAAAGAAAAAAAAAGATGAGGTTGCTAGCTCCAGGACAGCAACAAGAGAAAGAGTAAACCAGCCGGGTTCAGTGGCTCAGCCTGTAATCTCAGCGCTTTGGGAGGCCGACGTGAGTGGATTGCCTGAGCCTGCGGGTTTGAGACCCACCTGGGCAACTTGGCAAGACCTCATCTCTACAATAAATCAAAAACTAGCCAGGTGTGGTAGCATGTGCCTGTAGTTCCAGCTACTTGGAAGGCTAAGGTGGAGGGATCGCCTGAGCCCAGCAGGTCGAGGCTGCAGTGGCCCGGAGCATGCCACTGCAGTCCAGTCTGGACGACAGAGTGAGACTATAACTCAAAAAAAAATAAAAAGAGTCAACCAATTACAGTAGGAGTTCAACAGAGAACCAGAGAGAGACAAACTTAAGAAGAACCCTCCAAGATTCATGATACACTTCAAGACTGGCCTCAAACACAACCCCTACAAAGGGCATCTAATCTAACTGGATCCCACATGGAAAAATATATGGCTTTGCCCAAAACAATAAGCAATCAGTTAGCAATTAGTGAAGAACAACTGCTGGGTGTGATACCTATAGAGGCAGAAGCTTACTTAACAAGGAGATCAGAGGGAGAGATAAAGATAGCCCTGCCAAAACATGCTAACATCCCTTGAGGAGGGCCACTCAGGGTGACTATGTGGGCGCCCAAGGGTGCATTCTCTTGAGGAGCAATATCAGAGTGCACACTGGATAGAAGCAATAAACCTCAGTGAAATAGTCCAGCCAAGTCACTAAACAAACAACACAACAAAAAGTCCTGGAAGAGGAGAGAGAAGTATTCAGAGTTGCTACAAAATATTATCTAAAATGTCTGGTTTGCAACACAAAATTATGAGACCTGCAAATCAACAGAAAAGTATGACATACAAAGAAGGAAAAAGCAGGCAGAAATTGTCCTTGAGAAGGCCCAGGTGTCAGACTTAATGGACAAGACATGTCTATCATAAATATATTCAAAAACTAAAGGAAATCATGCTTTAAAAATTAAAATTCCAACTCAATTTTACAAGTTAGGGAACACCTCCAAATTTGCTCGTCCAGGTGGTGAGACGTTAGAATTCCCAGTTGAGGCCCAGGTTCTGTTCACCATTCCAGGATGTTTTCTTTGACAACGTGTTGCTGTACTCTGGAGACCAGTTCTAGAGAATTTGGGTTTTTGTCATAAAGGTCATGGTAGCCACTGAAGGCCTCTGTACAGAAAAATGGCAAAATGAAAACAAGTGGTCTTGCTATAGCTAAGAAATCAGAATTGCAAAGAATATGTATACTCTAATAGCCCAAGAGAATGAAATATCTAATTTTTCAGGTTGGTAATTTGAATTCAAAATAATGTTAGTATTTTACAAAACTATATTCACAGACAATATGACCAGGTATACAGAAAAATCGTAAGGAATTCACTAAAATGCTGCTGGAACTAATAAAAAGGGGTCAGAAACGCTGCAGGATATAAGACTGTGATATTATGATACACTAAGAAACACAATTTTGGTCTTCATCCCAGTGGTTCCTGGCACAGAGCTCCTAAAACCCTTGACATTTTTGAGTGATAGGGTAAGAGGAGAGTCTTGTTAGTCATAATAAACCCCTTTCAACCATACTGTCACCAGGAAGCCTAGACAGTCATTTCTCATGTCTTATTTTTGCTGTAGCTAATGCCTTATCACAGACTTAAAAATTCTGACCTGCATGTAGCCTCACTTGCACAGAGCTTCCCAAATCACTCTTCCTGGGGAAACTTTCAAGTTTTTCTGTAGTCCCTATCTACAAGTACATCTGCTTAAGGAAGCCAGGTTGACTGGCCTGAATGCCACAAATGGCTGCATGACCCCCTTGCCCGACACCTGGGGAGATCCAGACCTGTTGCAGGTGTTCAGTGCAGACCAATGGGGACTACAGCACGTGACCCCCAGTTATCTTTAGCTCATTTGCATATAATTATAAACCTAAACATTAAAATGCTAAAATGTATGATTAAATAAATTTATTAAGTCAAATACTAAATATGTGTTATTATTAAAAATCATCATAATGCTACAAATCTCTCCTTCATCCACCCTGCTCATGTTTGCATACCTTTCCTGCCCTGCACCCAACTCCTTAAAACTCCCACACCTGCTTGGGGAGAAGGTGCCTTTAGAGCATGAGCACCCCTTCTCCACTCTTTAGCCATTGAAAAAAACCTGATCGCCCTTCCAATTGGACGTCCTTTCCCTGTGGCCAATGCAATAGAGGGGAAATCCAGTTTACTGGAGAGGATGCCAGAGATTTTACTGAGATGACTGTCAAACTTAGTCTAAAGCTGCTCCTTACACATTTTAAGTTCGACCTAGAGATTTTGCCAAATATAGTGTGAGCTATAACCTAAGTGGGTATGTAAACAGACTGTGATCTATGCTTGTGCCAATCATCGAGTTTCAGCCAAAGGCAGTCAACTTTTCAAACTGTGTTCAAATAAGGCAAATGCCGGACTGCAACTAGCCCAGCAGTTTCTGTACTGAAAGGACGCAAGATGGAGTCGATAAACCCAATGTGCAGCTATTTTAGCACTGTCTGGTTCTGTCATGTTTTTATAGCAGTTCACTTCAATTTACCCTCTTATCACTAGCCAAAGATAGAAGCAGTTTCTCAGAGGCAGCTAATGATAATTGTTTTACAACTCCCTCCCTAGCTTGTTTTGTAAACAAGTTAACCTAATCAGCCCCTCAAGACACAGACCCCATCAACATAGCAGCAATCATGTGACTAGCCCACCCACCTCTCTGGTATCCATCACCAGATAACAGCACCTGTGCTCACCTGCCCCTTCATGGGGATGACTGAAAAAGACCACCACTCAATGACCTTAAAGACCTGTCTGTCCCACACCAAAGGGAAGGTTTAAAAGCATTCGACCTCAAGCAGCTATTTGCTATTGCTTTGTCAAGCAATGGCTGGGTCATGTGTTCATTGAGCTATGGCCAGGCCGTTTTCCTAAGCTTTGGCCCCCTCTCCTACCTTGGGGAGGTGAGTTTCTGTCTCTCTCTCTCTGCTCTCTCTCTCTCTCTCTCTCTAAAATTTACATTCTAAATTAAGTTGTATTTTCCAATCTAATTTATGTGCAATTCTTTTGCATCTTTTGCACAGCACCAAATCCCAGACAGCCCGTCAGGTCTGATCTAACATTTTGGAGGCCCCTCCCTACTGGGATTTGTGACCTAACGTGTACCTCATTTCAGGTTTTTGTAAGTCATTTCTTTTCCTGTTCATAAATCTCTGTCCAAGTAGCAGAGGTAGAGTATGTCTTAACCTAAGCTAGTTCAGGGCTGCCTGATTCATGAATCATTCATTGTTCGGTTAAACTCTCCTAAATTTAATTTGTCTAAAGTTTGTTTGTTGACTTTTTTTTATTTTTAGAGTCAGAATCTCACTCTATCCCCCAGGCTGAAGTACAGTGGGAAAATCACAGCTCATCACAGCCTTGACCTCCTGGGCTCAGGCAATCCTTCCGTCTCAGCCTCCTGGTTAGCTCCACAGGTACATGCCACTTTTTATAGGTCTTGCTATGTTGCCCAGGCTGGTCTGGAACTCCTAGACTCAAGTAATCCTCTGGCCTCAGCCCCCAAAGCACCGGGATTACAGCCATGAGTCACTGCGCCTGGTCTGAGTGTTTCTTTTAACTCAGAGTATGTGAGCTGGTTGCCAAAGGAATCAACCATATGAATGATGACTGGAACTTTCGACACCACTCTTCAACGTGTGAGAAGGAGAAAAGGGCTGGAGATTAACTAAATCATTGGCCATTGGTGACTAGTTCAATCGTGCCCATGTATCAGGAAAGCCATAAAAACCCACATGCTGCAGGGTAGCCCATACCACAGGGATCCCTCCAGACCTCATCATATGTACCTCTTCATCTGTCTGTCCATCTGTGTGATTTATAATAAGCTGGTAGACAAAGTATTTCCCTGCATTCATTACAGCAAACTGTCAAACTTGAGCAGGGGATCATGGGAAATCCCCAATTTAAAGCCATGTCAGGCAGAAGCATGAATAATCCGGAGACCCACTACCTGTGACTGGCATCTGAAGTAGAGGCAGTCTTGTGGAACTGAGTCCTTAACCTGTGGGATCTGCAATAACTCTGGGTAGTTATTGTCAGATGGCTGCCCAGAGAATTGGAGAAAAACTTGGTGTAGAAAAGTCACACGTGTGATCAGAAGTGTTGTGACTAGAGAAATGGTTTCTCCCTTTAAGGATGAATACAGAAAAATCCACTGTATTTCTACAGACTAGGAAATGAAATTACAAAAACACATTGGTATTATATTTACAATACCAGAAACAACACTTGGGAACAGATAAAACAAGAAGTTCAAAATTTGTACTTTGAAAATTACAAAGCATTGCTGAAAAATATTAAAGAAGAACTAAATACAAAGAAAAAGTCCCTGTTTGTAGATACGAAGACTTGATTCAAATGGCAACATTCCTAAAATTGATATACAGATTCAACCAATTGTTGGGCCTCAAAAAGCGATAAACCAAAGACTGGCACTCTGACATGCTGAGAAGCCTTAGAAGCTGCCTCAGAATCACGGCCCCTCTAACCTTGTCTTGTTTCCCCCTCCCCAAGATCAGGGAGAGATTCTCTGAAATTTCCTTATCTGAAAAAGAAAGCTCCTCTCACTCATTTAAAAAAAAAAAAAAAGCAACTATCTTAAGACCTCCCTCCCTAGAAATCTCATCAAATAACCAGAAAAGATCAACCGCCAAAAAAGAGAAGAGAGTGCGAGTCCTCATAAAGCCCAGACTTTACATCTACTCATCCCAGGGCAGCTCAGATTACCTGGGGAGTTTTATCTGCATAATAAGACAAGCTTTGTTCCTCTGCCTTCCAGCCCCAGCAGGCCTATTTAGTCCATTTCCCTCTTCCCCAAGAAGAGAGCATTTAAGCCTCAACCAGGAGGCCTCTTTTTGAGTTTCTATTTTGCGACTCCCATGCACAGGAGTGCGCCAAATAAACGCTACACTTTTCACTAGTTAACATGTTGTTACAGGGGTGTCGGTCAAGATCCTTTACAATGGGAAGGAAAGGGAGCATCCCTAAACAATCCTCATCAAAATCTCACCTGGCTTTTATACAGAAATTGGTTAAGCCTAATCTGAAATTCACATGGATATTCAAAGTTCCCAGAACAGCCAAAACAATTCTCAAAAACAACTTGGAGGACTCGTATGTCTTGATTTCAAAAGTTACTGCAAAGCAACAGTAATCAAGACAGTGTGGTACTAGCAAAAGGACAAACATAAAGATCAATGGAACAGGTCTGAGAGTGCATAAATAAATTCTTGTATTATGAATTTCAACAGTATAGAAAAGAATTCAAAAGGTAAGAATCATCTTTTTAACCAATTACGCTGGAACACCTGAATATCAACATGTAAAAGAATGAAGTTGGACCCCTTTCTTACACCATACAAAAATTAATTCGAAATGGATCACAGGCCTAAATATATGAGCTAAAACTGTAAGTATCAATCACAGAGTATAAACAAGTGCTTCAGCAAGAGCATGTACAGTAAAAAGTGGAGGCCAGTTCTAGCATTTTCTGAGAAGTCTTGGACCAAGTAGTACGAGTGAGGGCAAGGGGAGAAAAGTAAGGGTAGGAGGGGGGTTACTGAAGAGATGATACCACTCAGGCTGACCAAGTACCAAAAGCAGCATGTGTTCAAAAAACAAGCAAACCAGAAGAGCAGGGTAGGGATGAGGAGATAACAAAGTCAACTATTGTGCTCTTTGATGCCATGAAATGGAACTTAATTTGCATTCTAATGTACACAAATACAATTTCAGAAAATAACTATATGTAGAAGATAATGCAAAGGCAGCAGAAGCTAGAAGCAAGAAACTGTGATAAAAGTAGAAACAAGTCTAGACTCCTAGATCAGAAGGCTAAGGAGGTGTGACTGAGCCAGCAGCTTCGAGGGTGGCAAAGGCTGCAGCTATTCCTCCAGTGTTTCCTGAAAGGAGGGATCCCAAGAATCTTAAGAATATACTTAGCTCACTTTTTATCTCAGCATAGTCAGTTTTGCTTAGACTGACATGCTTTGAATCTAGCACAGGTTAGACACAGATAGATAAATTTCCAACAGGCAACTTTGCAGGAAGCGTTCAGACATTTTACTGCAGGCTAAATTGGCAAACTGC